CCTAGAGGGATTTAAAAGACATGTAGACATGGCACTTAGGGACATAGTTTAGTGGTGTCCTTGGCAGTGCTGGCTTAATAACTGGACTTGATCTCAAAGGTCTTTTCCATCCTAAACGGTTCTATAAAGAGGGTAGGTTACACAACTGCTGTGTTGGTTTTAAGCTGGGATATGTTGTGTCAAATCATACTTAACAAATCTCAGTCATGGTTCTGTGATCCTTCCTGTAGATAAAATAATGAATTAAAGCCCTATCATATTGCTAGAGCAGCAATTTCTATCAGTATTTTATCCTCAGGAGAGAGCCTGACATGGTTCAAAATGTTTGTAGGTTATTGCATGATTTGCACAATAAATTTCAGTTTATAACTCTGAGTACAGGTGTATTAAGGGTTTTTATAGTTACTGTGAGCAGATATCTTCTGGTTGCATTGACTGGGGAAAAAATCTGGCTCTGACGTTTAGTTGTGAAAATATCTACTCTCTATCTTTTTTTGGTTGGTTATGTCTTAAATTCAGGAACAGCATATCTAGTGATTTCTTTCATGGTATAACAAAAAGGAGTGGTGATGATTTCTTTTGTGCATTAGATTTTTAGCCATATATTAAGCAGTTTGTCACTTTATGCTATATTTTGGTAACCGAATATTTCACTGTCATAAAAGAGGCTACTTCAGTAAGCCATAAACCTTTGAGCTATACTGACTGCTAGAGCTTGGTTTTGGGTTCCCATCATGTAAATCCCTTTGTGACACACTGGTATATGATGTGTTCAGTGCTCTAACCCTTTGTTCAATTGACTGTTTTAGCATATCTTAACTGCTGTATGTGCCAAGTGCTTCATCAGCCATGATTTCAAGTTGCAAAGATCATTTAGCAGTTTAGAAGGTAATCTGTGCCAGTGGAGGGTTTTAAGTATCAAAGGGACTTTTTAAAGAATACTTTCTCAAGTGGATTTGTGCTATTTGTAAGGGATTAAAATCATTCACTATTTCTTTATTAAAATTTGTCTTCTGAATTAGTTGTCATCTCAGTTTTACTAAGGCAGCAAAATAGGGAATTTCTGATGTTGAATATTTTACAGAAATACTTATCCTTACAGAAATCAGAAAAACAATTACAGCTTGGTGGCCCCCCTTAGTCACTCAAGGAGAAACCAGTCCTTGCAGTGCTAGATCTCGTGGCTCTGTTTCACTGCTCTGTTCCTTGGCTTTGTTGTGAGGTGACTCTACCAAAACCAGCCATACAGTGGTGTGAACATTTATGTTCAGTGATGAAACACCTTTAGCCATCTATCACTGTGAAGTAAATATCACTGTATTTTAGGCAATTATATTTTAACAAATGATCTGCTCTGTAGGAGGAGTCACTACAGACAGCAGTGACTTGCAACACCAATATTTTCTTATTTAACAAAACCATTGGATCTTTAGAGTGGAAATCAATGGGACTTCAGGGAACTGTGCAGTATGTTGCTCTGTTCCCCCTCACCTCATGGGGCTGGACGCCTTCCCTGAGGCCTCTACCGCACAGTGAAGGTGACAGTGCCCAATAACCCTCCTCTTAGACTCTCTGGAATCCTTTAACCAAAGAGAGAAAGCTATTCTTGCCAATCAGGTAGACAGTGACCTCTAGTACAAAAAGAAATCTGTATGTTAAAGAAATAAGTAATTTTTCTTTATACTTCATGACGTAAATTGCCCATGTCAGAAAACTAAACCTTTTTCTATGAGATTCATTGTTACCCTTCTTCAAACTCATACCTGTCATTGAACACTCACTTCAGTGAGATTAAATCTACAAATTTCTGATTTTTAGCAGTAACAACTTTACCTTAAGGCATGCAGGTTGACATTTAATATGCTGCTTACAGAGAGTCAGGTACTGTTTCTCTTAGGCTCTGCTGGGCCTGAAGCAAGATGAAAAATATTACTGCACAAAGTGTGGGGCACAGTGGCAGTGTGGGAGCCCTCATCACATGGTTTCCAGTAAGATCCACTGAGACATGAGAGACCCTTCTCTCCAGTATTATGGCTGTGCAGATTTTGTTTCCGCAAATCTTGTCATCATACTTGCTGCATGGTCACTTGTTCTGTAATGAGTCCCAAATTATCTGAGAGTCATGTATGCTTGAAAAGCAAAAGCTTATTTTCCTGCATAAAGCCTTCTATTTGACAAATGCAGTGCTAACAATATATTTAAATGTTTCATTAAATACTCATGAGTTTTAATTCAAAGAGCTCTTTTGGAATAACTAGAGCCAGTGCATTTGTAAAGTATTTCATACTGCAGCAAAATCTAAAGGCTCCTAAATTCATTCCACCGGCAGTACATGAATGTGAAGGACAGTGCAAAGATGGCATGAAGAGAATCACATGCTTTCACAAGCATGAAAGATTTCTCCACTGAAATTTCTAAAATAATACAGAAAGGACAGATTCATCCACTGTATCATTCCTTACTGCAAAGAAACTTGAGTAACTTTAAGATTGTTTTAGTTGAGACATACTGTAATGGATGGCAAGGAAAGGGGGGGAGTTGGTTATCACTGTGGGCATTAAGAAAGGTCCCCAAGTCCAGGCATGTGAACTCATGTGTGTCATTTCCTCCCTTTTTCCAGTTTGAACAGGAGAACCAGAGACTTGTTGGTGAAATGAACAATCTCTTTGATGAAGTCAGGTACAATTTTCTGTTACTCAACAAACTGGGGCACGTGCCAGTCCCGTGACCTGGACAACACCCACGCGCAGTGTACTGGCTGCAGGACACCTGCCTGCACCAACTGGAGTGGTGTGGGAGGAGGTGGCATGAAACAGGAGCACCCAGGAAGGGTGCTGTGTGCTGTCCCACAGGGTAAAGAATGATTCTGAGGGTCACACAAACTATCCAGAATAGTACTGTTAAATTTGGAAGGTTTACATTCTCCCTTACCCAAGTTTTAAAATGCTAAGTTTTCCACTCATCTCCTGTGGTCCACTGCATACAGAGACAGCAGTGGGGAGGTGCCATCACTGACCCTGTGCAGAGACCTGGCTGTGCTTACAGCAGCACCGTTCACTCTCCCTTGCTGTACAGAACAGCTGAACAGCTACTCAAGCTAGAAACTGACTTTTGGATTATTAGTCCCAGGCAAGGTGAATTCCACAGGTCACAGTAGCATATAAAGAGGATATGTCAAAATCAGCTGCATAGGGCCCACCATGGATGTTGTTATGTGAGACGGAAGAAGGGAGACAGGTGAACCCCTGGCAGTGAAGGCAGCTCGCTGAGCACTGCTGGGTGATGCCTTTTCCAGGGCTTCTCTATGGGCTGGTTGTTTCCAACCAGGAACGTCCAAGCCCTGATCACAGGCTGGTGCTGCCCCACTGATGGCTGACAAAACAGTGGCCTCCTGAACAGCCACTTACTGGGCTGGAGAGTCTGAATCTGCAACAGCAACACATGCTTGCACTTAGTTTCTAATGGAGAATTTCTCTTCTTTGCCAAGACAAATTGAAGGAAAAGTGGTGGAAATCTCCAGATTACAAGAGATATTCACTGAGAAAGTCTTGCAACAGGTTAGTGTATTTTAATACTGCAGCAGCAAATAAAGCTTGAAGATTTTCTTGGAGATATTTTGCTCTTGCTTGCATGCAATGTGTAAACATAAGATTAATGAATCCTTGGTGCACATGTGAAGGAAAAGATTTTTGTTTGTTTTTCAAATTCAAAATCAAGATATTCACTGTTGTTACTTATTAGTATGTACCGGGAATGGAAAATGCAACATGTGTTAGGATGATGCCTCTGCCTCAGAACTGGTGTTCTGTTAAATGTGTTATTTCATAACATCCTTTCTGGAAGTGGTGCCGCCTCTTCCAAAAGAGCTGGGAAATATCAGACAGGTTAAACTTGATTCTGGATAAATGGGAGACTTCCTGCTGATCTTGGTGGTCTCCATTCAGGCACATAAAATCACAGATAAAGAAATTGCAACTTAATTGTAATTACTCTATACCTTTGCATCAATGAAACAAAGATGTTAGTAGTACCAGATTTGATTTTATTTTTGAGTTCTGCTTGTTCTCTAAGTGCTTGGAAGTGTTTTTTTCCTAACTTTCATTACTGTTTCTCAGTTTTATTTCTTTTTTAAAACAGGAAACTGATATTGACAATATCCATCAATTAGTTGTGGGTGCAACAGAGAATATCAAAGAAGGCAACGAAGACATAAGAGAGGTAATGTCTTGAAGCTGTGTTTTAAACTCACTTGTTTCTCTTAACTTTCAGTTTTTCCCAAGTGTTGCTTTAAACAGCACGTGAGAGCTCCCCCACAGGACTGGTGCAGTGGGTGCTGGGGTGTCAGGACATGGGTTTGGGAAAACTGTTCAAGTTAGCTGAGGTTTTCATTAGTTCTAACCATGATCTGAATAGCTCACAGGTCTGCAGAAATCTACTTGGCCTCATCCATTTTTTAAATGTGAAGGTCACCTGGCTTGCATTTAAGCACCTGTGAAGTTGGTTTTAAAAAAAAGGTGGGGAGGGGGCAGAAATTGCAGACTACGATAAAAGACAGTGCTGAAATGGTTGAAACTAGAGTTAAATGCTAAGCATTAGCAGAAGAGACTCTTTGCCACCCTGAACACTTCTCACATGCTCCTAGTAAAAAATCTCTTCCACTGTCTTACTAATTAGAAGGAAAGGATGTTTTCTTTCAGTAACTGAGATTTCAATAAAAACAGAGTTCCTAAATTAGGCTATTGAGTAAATGGCCCTCCTGAGAGCACACAGAAAAGGTATCTCGAGGATGTTATTTACTGCTCTGCTCTCCTGAAAAGTGCATCAAATGTGGCAAGAACTGAAGTCATTTTTGCTTCATTTTTCACATTTTTAGGTAGAAATAAGTTTCCTAAACCACACTGAGAAACTAGCAAAAGGTGCTAAATACAAAACTTTGTCACTCACATTGATGTTTGTACCATGTAAAAAAAAATCTTCCATCTGTAAATCTGAAAAATGAGAGTGAAAACCAGGTCCCCTGGTGCATGCTGGTCTCAATTTTGGGAAGAAGAATCCTAGAAAAATACTTGCTGTGAGAGCACTCACTGTGCTGTATCAACCTCCATAGGTGTCAAGGGGTTTTTTTGTTTGGTTTTGTTGGTTTTTCATTTGTTTAACTCAGATGTTTATTAGAAAGATGAAGGCCTTCTTACTTCTAATCATGGAATTTCACTTTTGGAACTTGACACTAGTCTAGAAGCATGTACTTTTTGATGTAGTTCTTAATGTTTTGAGTTTCATTGCATGGGATCTTGGGATTTTCTTTTTTTTTTCCCTAAATGTCTTTTTTGAAAATTTTGAGTGCGACTTCACTGATAAATCTAAAGAGGTACAGCCTATCTGACCTGTATTTACCTGAAATTAAGGGCAAAATATGTTACTTATCATAGAATCATAGAATCAGCCAGGTTGGAAAGGACCTCTGAGATCATGGAGTCCAACCCTTGATCCACTACCACCGTGGTTACTTCTCACGTGGGAGGGAAGGGTGATGCCACTAACAGGCATCCTGGGTTGCCACTGTTGAAATTCTGTGTGTTTACTGGTGATGGTAACAGGGATAACCTTTTCCTCACAGGCCATCAAAAACAATGCTGGATTTAGAGTGTGGATCCTATTCTTCCTTGTGATGTGTTCATTTTCCTTGCTTTTCCTGGACTGGTATGATAATTAATTAAACATACTATTGTCTACGTGCTTTGTTTGTAAAACTTTTGACTTTTTTTTCAATGGAGTTGGGTATATGGCATACCTACATATTTTATGCATTTTTTTCATACCTCTGTGATGGAAATATTTTCCAATAAATAAGTGTGTGCATATATCCATTAGTGCAGAGGGAACTGATAGCCTTCATTTTAAATCCGTTTGTCAAATATAAAACCACGCTTAATCCTTCAGAGAACACTCTTTAAAAGGGCTGGGAAGAAAGCTACAGGCTGGAGCAGAGCTAATGGAAGAAAAAATAACAATACTGGTTTTGTCACAGCCACCCACTTGTGATGTTGAAAGTCCAGCTCCCATCCCAGAGAGAGAGAAAAGTGTCACTGTGCAAAAGTATCTACACTGTCTCAGGTGTTTAATTACCACTTCAGTACACAGTGATCACTTTGCACATCTATGACCTCTACTTCTAATCCTTTGAAACTACTTGACTGAGAAATCAGCTTGATTTTTTTAGTAGCAATAATGATAAGGAGTCAACTAAAGAGCTTTACTTCTAGGTGAAAAGAGAGAATACAACATAGACAGATTGTGTGGTGAAACAGATGTTCTGGGGTGCTGGAAAAAAGCCAAAGGATGGACAGTATTAAAGACCAAGTACTAAAACTGGGAGCAGTTTGTTAACTAAAAAAAAAATACCTCAAAACCAACTGTAGATAAGAATCAATAAACTCCCTCCTATTAAATCAGAGGAAAAATGGTTTTGACTTCAAGAAGCATAAGCAATCTGCTTCTCCTAGATTGTAAGGCTTACTAATTTTTATTGTTTGTTGTTACGAGGAGAAAAAGAAGTTGTTTCTCATCAGTATTTACTTGTGCATTAAAATTTTTATTGTCCTAAATTTAAGGGGAGGAGATGTATCATGAATCATTTCTATGGAGGACAGTCTTGGGGAACAGATCTTTCCATCCTGTAAAATCTGAATGTCCTCTGTAAATACGTTGGAATGAAATGTGTGTGGTTTCATATCTCTTCTGAAATGTATATTTCTATACATTATATGCAACAAGTAGCATCGCTCTTATTCTTTACTCTGCATAGAGTGAAAATGTCAAAAGTTACATGTGAATTAATTACATTCAATAAATCAGATGCCTGTTAAAAATTGCAAACATGGTATGTGTTGAAGATCTTAACATAAGCTTGATATTTTTAAATGCAAAGAAAAAAACTGGCACATAATTTATTGCTTTTGATGCATTCCACATACCATGATGACTTAATATATTAACAGCCTTCTACAGCTGCAGTGTGTTATGCACATTTCGTTATCAAGCCTTGAGCATTGAGTCATAATGGTTATTTTTACTGTATTGGAATGAAAGGCTTTGATAAAGCAATTTTGCTGGAGAGAAACAGAAGTAGAGCTGACCATGTTTGTTCTACTACTGATCTTGAGAAACAGCCCATACTGATGCTTCCCTTTCAATCTTTTAATAGACTCTACCAAAAAAAAAAAAAGGAACTTTTGACATGTCCACTACCCCTTGTCCCATTCAAGTAACATGAACAAAAAGGTGACTTGCTTGCCTAGATGCTTCACACACTTATTTTGTATGTTAAATTAATAATGTCCTTTTGTAATGTATATTTAAGATTTATAATAAAAATGAAAACATGATTTCACACAAAGAATAGGTAAGTTTGTAATTACAATGGAACTTTAACGTGCATCCACAATACTATGTTCTTCTACGTCTTTTCCCCTCCCAAGCCATACACAAACAGTTCTACTCCTCACTCTGTTTCACATGTAGCTTCAAAACAGCCAGTTGTGGTATCTAATACGCTACTGTTTCACTTGTGATGCTCTGTGTTTTAAAAAGTATCAAACTGCAAACCATACATAAGCAGAAAGCTCTTTCTAATTAATAAGAAGGGAAAATGTGAATGTAATACAGGAGAAAATTTAGACATATTACTCCCTCAGTTGTATCCAACAAATGACATAGTAGACTACATGTACTCTTAAAGTATGATCAAAAGATCATCAAAAGATGTCATTTCTCATTAGAACATCCTGAACTGTATAGTTTTTACACTATCCTCGACACCCACCACTAAAACTGTCGGTGTTTTTCCATAATGTCTATCTAGTTTGTGTTTCAGTGCACATCCTTACCAAGATGCTAAAGCCACAGTGGAAATGCAGTTAAATCCTGTTGACAGCAATAAGAAAACATTGAGCATGCCTTGTTGCAGAGAACTTCATTATCACTTACAAATAAACAACAGTAAAGGAAACATAAGGAAAAATGCGACCTGACAGTTTCTTTCTCCATACAAGTCATTACATTACGCCCCCGACATCAGTGCTGACTACTGTTCTTGCTTGAGCCCCAACTAAATATTACTTACAGCTTTCAGCTAAACAAGAGATCACTCTAGTTATGGCTGGGGTGTTTCAGTTTGCAAAATGACAAAGAGAATTAAAAAACTTAACAAATTAAGTATCTGTTCAGACAACAGAACACATCATTTATCTAAGGTCCAAGCCCTGAAAATCCAGTGATGAAATCTATCAGTATCCAATAAACTGCAAGAACATATCTTAGCATTGGATTTTTTTTTAACATTGAAAATGGTGTCAAAGCTCTACAGCAATGCTGATATGCACCTGGGGTTATGCCCATGAATGTTCTGCAGCAAGTTTTTGTTTTGGTTTTTTTTTTTTTTTTTGCAAAGCAGTATCAGCAAACAGAAGCAATTGCACCATAAACATGAGTAACCTCTAAATTATTCATAATTATATTCAGTGAAAAGTTCCTTGAAGTCCCTTAGTTACCTTCAAATTACATATTTTTAATAATTCGCTTATCATACTAAGCTGATTTCTCAGCAGCTTCAGTCTCCTGTTCAGACAGTTTCTCTTCTGACAGTACTGTCATCCACGGGGACACGGAGCGCGTGATGGTTTGTTTGGCCAGGTTGTAGTGGTTTATGACTGTGTAAAATTTCCCTCGAGCGCTGGAGTCTTGTTCAGAGTAGTAGTTTTCCAACCCAGCTGGAATGCACTGATTGTTCTGAAATGAAAATCCATCTCTTAGATTACAGATACAGCCCCACACACACCAGCAGCAGATTAGGGTTTTTTTCTCCTTTTACTTTTAGTCTTAAGCCAACAGTCACATTCTGTGAGTCAAGATGCAATATACAGCAATTAACTACAGTGTTGTCCCACTGTGTTCAGAATGTTCTTCCCTGCACTCCTTAAACTATTCATGCATTTGCCAGGAAGACCAATCTGGGTTTATATGCCAGCATAATTAACGTAACATGCTTGCCTACAATTATTTTTTAAAGTTTTCAGTCTCTAGTTCCAGCCATATTTTGCTGTTTTTTCTTGCCCACTTTCTTCCAACTGGTTGGTTTACAACTACAGCTGTCTGTATCCTACCATTAGATTAACTTCAGGCAATTTACGATGGTGTTTGCAGTCCAAGGGATGGAAATTAATACAGATAAATTGGTGCCAGCGTATGAACAGTTTTACAGCCCAGTAACTAAGACATACAGGAAAACATTGCGGGTGGCCAAGCATATGCACAAGTGTGTACACACATAGAAAATACTTCACTCTTTGTCACAAAGATGTAGCCAACAGCACACTTTTAAAAAGCTCTCTGTAACTGTGGGACTACATTATTTCATTTCCCAGGAGTGCACGAGCACTACATAGAACCTGGTAGATGCTTAGAGCTTTGGAGAGTGAAAAAGGTGATTCAGAGGGTTAAATACTAAGTGGAATCCAAATTTTGCTGTCATCTTAAAACCCAAAGTGAGTGTGCCTGTGCAGTGCATTTGTCACAGGTCTTATCTACCAACTGTTCCAGTGATTAAGAGCCTACAGAGAAGCTGGTTGCACTCAAGGAAAAAACAACTTGGACATATACTGTGACCCCTAAGTTTTGCCCCATAAGGTCATGGGGTCTCTCTGCAGGTCCTCTTTCCACACCAGCTGGTCCAGGCAGTCTTGCTTGATACCTCAGCATGTTAGGACAGTCACTTGAGCAAGTGAATTGACTCTCTGTAAGCTATGAGTAGCTGCAGCTTCAGAAAAATAAGTTTAATAATTTCTACTCTGGCTCTTTTAAAAAGAAATAGGCTGTTCAGTCTTCCTGCTTCCAGCACCGGAGGACTAAAATTTATAGTATTATGGCACAGCAACTTTGAACTGCTACTGTTCTCCTACAGTTCAGCAAACGAAATTTAATACTGGAAATTTCTCAGCATAAAAACACGTGCAAAAATTCCATGGGTTTTAGGACCAGATGCTGCCTCAACTGTGTCCACATTTACTTCTAAGTTCACTTTTGTCCTTGCCGACAAAAAGAAAAAGAGAAGTAGCATAAATAAGCACCAGTAACAACAGTTTCAACTGGTTAAAATCATACAACACAAAAAGGAGGAAGATCCAGCAGACAGTCTTGGCTTAATACAAATTTTGCATCCTAAAAATGTTAGTGTGATAAAAAGGCATCAAAAGGTAGGAAAGAAAAAACGGAGACCTGCCAAAACAACAGGCCCATGGGTAGTCTTATGAAGCTGCCTGCCCCTGGGGAATTCAATCACATGGCACATTTGATGGCTCAAAGAAGCCTCACTGTCACAAAACTAACAGCCCTCCCACAGAGACAACACCTCACAGGCTTGAACCTGCAGGTGTGACAGAAGCCTTGAAGTGTGTCAGACTTGACAGTGCCCAAAGTTACCATTTCCACCCGGGTTCCCTTTATTTGTTATCTTCTGTCAAGGCAGCAGCTGGGGCAAATCTTCCCTCTCCATTTTACTGAAGTAGCACAACAAAGCAGAAGGGATTTAACCCCAGCTGAGCAGCACCTGTGCCCACTCAGCGCTGTTTAAATCAGCAGAGGTTTTCAGCTGCAAGACTGGGACCTAGATTTATAAAAACTTAATCCAGGAATCTGGAATAGAGCTATTTGATACACATGTTGAATTACATCAATATGCCATCTTCTGGAAGTATTATCCGTGCTTTATCTGGGATAACTGACACTAATGCTGATGTGATAAATGGCTAATAAGTATACAGATACAGACATATTTGTAGTGATTATTTCACCCAGTCATGGGATGTA